GTCGTCCCAGTTTGACGTATATATTTTTCAGAATACTCACCTCCTTCTGATTGATGATGTCTCCCCTGGCAACCGTGTAACAACCAAACCTGCACCAAAAGTCCTCCAAGATCCTTCTTTGAACTGAAGAATGTTTATTTAGTTCAGAGAAAAGTGTGATACAATGTGTTTGTTTGTAAACTGTGCCAAAGTTATGAGTGTGATGTCACCGGTTCCAGAACTCTGATCCAAACATCGACAGTTTCACGGCTCTCTTTCCAAACGGTGACTTTGTGTAAAACACTCTGTACTTTTCAATCACACGTCACTGAAGGAAGTAATATTATTGTTTAAAAACCTGTGTTTGGAAATGATTTATTGAGTCTGAAATCAGAGAAATCACTGTGAATATTAATAAGAAACACATCTCGAATGTTTTCTGTCGGCCCAAGACTGAGGCTGCAGGGTTTTACACAGACTTTTACAGAAAGTACACTACCTGATCCATTACAAAGTTGTCGATTGGCCAACAATGAGATCAGAAAATCAAATAGTTCAAACAGGAAATGCAATAATAACAAACACACACAGACATTGGTCCATAAGGATTGGACACCACTGTCCCAGAACCTTCTTGCTGGGACTCTGACCACAGCACAGGGACTGGCCTCCTGCTGTGACTCTGAGGAGCACAGGGACTGGCCTCCTGCTGTGACTCTGAGGAGCACAGGGACTGGCCTCCTGCTGTGACTCTGAGGAGCACAGGGACTGGCCTCCTGCTGGGACTCTGAGGAGCACAGGGACTGGCCTCCTGCTGGGACTCTGAGGAGCACAGGGACTGGCCTCCTGCTGGGACTCTGAGGAGCACAGGGACTGGCCTCCTGCTGGGACTCTGAGGAGCACAGGGACTGGCCTCCTGCTGGGACTCTGAGGAGCACAGGGACTGGCCTCCTGCTGGGCCCTGCAGAGTTAGGACTAAACAGGCAGCATTTCAGACTCATGTGCCATACAAATAAACTTGGAAGTGTTCACAATGAAAAAACAATCCGAAAAAACTAAAGCCATGGTACCTATAACAACAAATGGAATAAAGATACAGATAAAAATCCATCCATCCATTTTCTTCCCCTTAATCCATTTCTGGGTTGGGGGGGTGTCAGTTAGAGCTGCACCCAGTACACAGAGCACCAGCCCCTCACTGATCCTCCTGCAGGTGGTGAGTCCACAGGAGCTGAGATCTTTCAGTGGAGGCTTCAGGCAAAGTAGGGTTAAGTGTCTTGCCCAAGGACACAACGACAGCAGTCATCAGTGGGAGTCGTGAAGTAGGTCTTATGGTGGGCTTGAACCCACGACCTTCAGGCCCAAAGGCCAATGCTCTACCAACTGAGCCACTGTCGCCATGCACTCAGATAAAAATCACAGTTAATAATTTAAACATATAGGCTTAAAACTGTGTTATTCTCGTTGTTTGAGTACGTTTTTGTAAGTAATTGTAATCTAATTATCTTGTTATAGTAGTAGTAGTAGTAGTAGTAGTAGCAGTAATAGTATGTGGTAGTAGTGGTTTAGTAATAGTAGTAGTAGTAGTAGTAGCAGTAGTAGTATACAGCAGCAGTATAGTAGTAGTAGTAGTAGTAACAAGTAGTATTTCTGTCTAGCCCTAAACTAAAAGAAGAATAAAAAGCTATAAGACACAATTACCCCCAAAATCCGTTATTATGACGTCATCATTACCAAATCGAAAAGTATTCTTACGCCACATTCCTCCACAATAACCAGTGTCCTCTTCATTTCACGGCGTGTTCAGAGGAAGAATAAAACTCCAAATACCGCTCTAATTGCTGCAATAAAAACAGATCAATTTTCGTGGTAATAATCACATCAGCCGCAGCTGGAGACGCGCGCGCATCACTGACGTATTGCTCTGTGCGTAATGGCGCAAATGGGATCTCCCGTGTTGTGTTTTTCTAAACTGCTCTTGTGTGAAGCTTTTTGAAATGCCTTTTTGGCGAATTGAGCAAAAATAAATTATGATTGATCAAAACAGTCCTAAAGTCTCAGAGAGTTTGAGGAAATTGATAAGACACAAGTTTAAGTGCGAGGTTTGAGCAATGGTAAAGCAGACGGATAATGAACTGGGGTTTTCTACTCTTCAAATCACACAAAAACAATTAACTTTGTAATAAAATCCTCGCTCTCAAAACAGTATCAAGTTGAAGAGTTGGTATAGAATATGTATTTTTTAGCCTCTGACACGTTTTTTAGAGTCGCTTTTTTAGACGGAGAAGTGACCAAGAGAGGACCCGCCTCCCTCAGCCAATCAGCTCTCAGCCCCAAGCGTTAGATAGTGACTCACAGGGCTCTCTCTAGTAAAACATATCAGCGAAATTGCTGTGTGAGCTGGATGTTTTGTTTTAGATTAGAATCACTGAACCATGATAAAAGTCCACGTATAAAAATTGTTATCATAATATTTTCATCGCTTAGAAATTACTCATCAGTCTTACTCTACACACACACACACACACACACACACACATACACTTACACATGTACTTCCGCATAAGAATGTCCCACAAACAGACGTATAATTTGTTTTTAAATATTAATTATTTTTTCTATTATTAAAGTTGCGGTTTCTAACTATTTTCATGAATGCGACACGTGTCTGTTCCTGTAGAAAGAGCAGCTTGAGAATGATGTTTTGAACCAAACAGGCCTCAACACGCACTCTTCATCTTTTTAAAAACATTTTCTGCATTTTACTTCAGAGAAAGAGCCCAGGGAGTCACTATTTGCCGCTTTGGGCTGAGAGTGAGCGTGGTCCTCTCTCACTTTTCTATGAGAGGCTGAAACAATAGATACATGCAGTATGAAAACTAAACCGAACTGTTAAAATTCATGGGTTTTATTCCAAAGTTTATTCTTTGGGTGATTTGAAAATTAGAAAACTGCTTATCCATTGCTCTAAACTCATATAATTGAAAATAACTAATAAATAATTTAGGTAAATGTCATCATAACTAATATTTTTTTTACTGAGAGTTATTATCACTATTGATGTACTGCGAGTTAAAACAAAGTGTAGTAGTAGCACTCGTTTGCCAATTTCTTCACTATAGATTAACAATATACAAAGAAACATGAAAAGTTTGACCTAAAAGTCTCTTTTTAAGCCTTTTTTTTTCAAATGAAACACAATACGTTACTTTTTTACATGTATTTCTGTGTTTTTGTGCTTTTTGCTTTTTTAAATCTGTTGTACCTGAAGTACTTTGGGCAGCTGGTCTTGTTGTAAATGTGCTATAAAAATAAAGCTGACATTGACATAAAAGTGTGCAAATTATTAAATTTCTTGAAGGCTTTTTGATAACAGGCCCTAATTACCATATGTTTTTGTTTGTTAATATTTCAGGTTAATTTTAACGCATACTAATCCTCCTAATATGTTATTTTTATAATGTTTTGTTATTTTCTGATAAATATTGATTGCTGTTAAATTACAGCGTGGTTCAAACTTGTCCTAAAACAGTCCAAACCCTGTATACACGCAACAACACGCGCATGGGCCTCGTCTCTCTGATACATTTACACATAAATACTTTAATAATTACCGATGAAAGATCAAAGGAAAATAACAGAAAACCATATAATTACTACTTCAACGTGCAGAGAGCCACTGCCCCATCATTATATTCAAATGTCTCCTTTATGAAGGCGTTTACTTTCTCTTTCGCGGGACAAAATAAATAACCTATTAAATCTCTGGACAATGTGTTATTAAACCTCGCATTTGCCTGAGTCTTATCTCAGGCAAATCATAGACCATATAAAAGAAACGTCTGTGCAGCTCAAAGGAATAATAATAATAATAATAAAAATTGTTTGCTTATACTATACGCACGTCCATGGGAATAACGTAATAACGCAAAGTATAGCAGTATATCTAAGAACTCTGAAAGACTAAAGCGTATTCCGTAGAATAGTTAAAGACACGCCGCGTCTCCTCGCACTTATTGAAATGAAAACCAAAAGATTCATACAGTTTTCTCGCGCGCACTTAAACGTCCATCGGTAATGAAAAAAAAAAAAACTATTCTATTAACTAATTTTTCTATAGGCTAAAGTCAATGGATCAAAGCGGGTTATCCGAAAGAAAGCGACCTCTATGAATACTCTTCTCCCCATGTTTGACGCGGAAAGGAATCCTCTCGGGACTAAAGCAGGGGAGAATGAATGGATCTTCATAAACGGCCATAGTAAAGTCATGCCCAAAGTTTGACAGATCCGCGCGTAAAATGTAGAAGGGGTTTTAATAATGGCTGGTAATGGGTGGTTCAATTCAAATGGTATAACGTAGCACTGCAATTCCTTATATAAATAATATAGCTCCTGTATTTTTAGATGTTTGAAAACATGTGACCTAAGATCTAATGTTGACAATGACCAAAGAAATAAACTATTAGGCCGGATGTATAGGCCTGTGCGTTTTTCGTGTCGCTGCAAAAAATCAGTAACGTCTCAGTATTATTCACGCTTTCATACGTAATGCTGCGGTCCTTCTGCTGCACACTGACAGTGATCGACAACATACAAATACGAGGAAGCGAGTCCCATCAGTCAAACGCGGTGGTTCATGTCCCATTTCACTAATGACCCCGTTTAAAAGATGAAGTCTCGCTATGCGGTCGTGCGTAAAGAGCGTAAATATACTACACTTTTGGACGGGGGAATACGTACTTTGCCTCGTTTTTTTCAGAGATGTGTTAAATATAGAAGCAGGGAGTATTTGAAGGTATCTGGACAAGTGATCTGGGCGAGCTTGGTGGTTTTTGAGGAGAGGTTTTGAATTTAGAGTCAATATCCATAATGCGTAAAGTGCGTAATATGCGTTGTATCTTATAGCTCAGGAATAAATAAAAAATAGTGGCTCGTTCAGGATTCCCTATAGAAGTGTGGAGGGTATGTGAGAAGTAAAGGGGGAGGTGAGGTGTGGGGAGAACTCTTTTTGGATGCCTGTCATGTCAAACTTTTCCACCAATGGCGCCAAAGAGCTACGCAAACCTGTGCTCTTATTGGCCCGGCTGCGCTTCACCCCGCCTCACGCTTCCCCAAGATTGAAATGTTAACAGTGTCTGAATCTCCTCGGTCTGTACACACACATCGACAGCTATAGCCGGCATAGTTTCTCACGCAGTCTGCTGGAGGTGGCCCTGGACTTCGAGCCACGCTGGACGATCCGCAGGACGCACGGAGGAGGCACACAGCGGACGTCGCGCTCTTGTTTTGCGGCTTCAACACCATGGGTGAGTGCAAGCGAGGTTTGGAGAAGGCATTTTTTATTTTACAAGCACTGGGATGGAGAGAAAGAGGGTAATACTTCGAGGCGAGGCGCGTTGGTGTACAGCTTTAGTTCGGCTTCGCTGTTTTGTAAGAATACTTTTGAGACGTGAAAGAAAAGGCGGTTATGGATGAATTACAAGCCTCGTTACGCGCGGGATCAGCGTGGAGCAGAACAGACTTGAGGCGCGGGGAAAGCGTTCATCTGGAAACTATAGTCCCTGAACAGGAAACTTGGAGAGAAAATCCTTGACTAGACGCGTGGCTTGACTTTGTTCTTTCAGGTAAACGACATAACACAGCGTTTGGTTTGATACATGGCACATGATAAATCCATATTAACACAGTATTTGCTGAATGCGATGGCCTGGGGCGTTCTCGCTTCCCCTTTGGAGCATTACAAATTGAGCAAATCAAAGAGGATTATCCGAGTGGATTACTTTGGTTGATGGAATAACCAAATTGACCTGAACCCAACTTTTTACGAGCCCATTCCGAATGTCACGCCACATATCAACATATTTCCTGGGCTGAGGCTGTATAGAACATATAGGCCTCAAACTGGACAAAGAGCGCCCACATTTATATCATTACAGTCCTATACAAGTGCTCAGAAAGCTTTTATTACATCACGTTTCCTTTGAGGACAGATGAGTCTCCGAACAACCGTTTAATTGACATTTTACGTCGAGTTTTCCAGAGTATGAGACAGAAAATTAATGATGAGTTGGATTTTTGCTCGGGAAGAGAGTTTTCCTCATGACTTTTATGAAGTTTAGTGCAATATACAAGGCCAAATGCTGTGCCGTGTTACATCTGTTGTGGTTCCTGCTGTCCTGGGACCTGCTGTTGATTAGTTTGTGCATTTCCTCTGCAGAGAATCTCAGTGTTAAAGCATTATTCTTCAGGGCGCCAGGTTCACAAACAGCGTGCGCGCTGCGGTCGTTTGGAGAGTTGGATCGAGCCTAGAACCATCATCTACAGCTAATAACAATTAGGATTATTACAGGCCAATTATTGCAGGGCTCCAACATGAGCGCGTCTGTCTGCGTGAAGCAACGGGACGCAAGGGACACGGTGTTATTGTCACACACTTACATCCACAGGAGCGCGGGCCTCTGTCTCTGTCTCTCTCACACATCTCTCTCTCTCTGCCTCTCTTTCCTCTCCACGCTGTGTTCAAATCTATCTATCTATCTATCTATCTATCTATCTATCTATCTATCTATCTATCTATCTATCTATCTATCTATCTATCTATCTATCTATCTATCTATCTATCTATCTATCTATCTATCTATCTATCCAATCCCATTTAATTTAATTTGTTTATTGCCCTAAATCATAACAGCAGCGGTCTCGCAGGACTTTACTAAGTTGTTGGTTCCTCGATAACAGATCAGAGAAACAGTTGAATGAAACACATCTGTCTCGTCTCTGACTCTCGGTTCCTGTGTCCTCAGAGCCGGCCTTCGGGGAGGTGAACCAGCTCGGCGGCGTGTTTGTGAACGGGAGGCCGCTGCCCAACGCCATTAGGCTGAGGATCGTGGAGCTCGCTCAGCTCGGGATTCGTCCATGTGACATCAGCCGCCAGCTCCGCGTCTCTCACGGCTGCGTCAGCAAGATCCTGGCGCGCTACAACGAGACCGGCTCCATCCTGCCCGGAGCCATCGGCGGGAGCAAACCACGCGTGACCACCCCGACCGTGGTCAAACACATACGGACGTACAAGCAGCGGGACCCGGGCATTTTTGCCTGGGAAATCCGGGACCGGCTGCTAGCGGACGGCGTCTGTGACAAGTTCAACCTCCCGTCCGTGAGCTCCATCAGCCGCATCCTGCGCAACAAGATCGGGAACCTGTCCCAGCAGAGTCACTACGAGTCCGGGAAGAGCTCACACCCGCCCCCGCAGCCCGCGCTCCCCTACAACCACTTATACACGTACCCCAGCTCCAAGGTGCCCACGCCCCCCATGGCGGCTCTGCCCGGACACATGGCCATGCATCGGATATGGCCCTCGTCGCACTCCGTCACTGACATTCTGGGCATCCGCTCCATCACCGAGCAGCAAAGTAAGAGCTGGTCTCACTCTCACAACAGCACATTTACCTCCATCTTATATCTCTATGTTCTATATCTATGTTATACCTCTATGATTTATATTTGTTTACCCCTGCGTTTTACCCATGTGTCTATACCCCATACATGTTCCACCTCAGTGTATGGTTTCACCTCAGTGGAGGTGCGCGGCTCCCTCTCCTCACATCAATAGTATTTATAACGTGCACAGTTCGTCCATTACGCATCATTAACAAAATCAATTATCCATAAATTGTTTTTGTTGGAATACTATTATACATACATAATATCCACATGGGCCTATTGATATGGACACGCCATTTGATTTATTGTTTTATTTTTTGACATGTAAAAAATGTATTTCCTTTTTATTACATAGGTTCTTCACAAACATGTTCCACATGTATCATTAATAATAACAATACATCAAACTGATACAGCGCTAAGTTTTTATATTTTTTGTTGTAAATATTATTTATGTTTATTGTTTTTAGTTTTTTTTTTAGTTGGTGTTGCATGTATTAAGGACATCAGCACTATTTGGCTTCCAATCAACAATTTAGTTTTGTAAATACAAAATTGTAATTCAAGCATATCCACTTCCTCTCCTTATCCAGTGTGTGTGTGTGTATGTGTGCTCTCCGTGTCCAGTGTGTGTGTGTGCGTGTGTGTATGTGTGCTCTCCGTATCCAGTGTGTGTGTGTGTGTGTGTGTGTGTGTGTGTGTGTGTGTGTGTGTGTGTATGTGTGCTCTCCGAATCAAGTGTGTGTGTGTGTGTGTGTGTGTGTGTGTGTATGTGTGCTCTCCGAATCCAGTGTGTGTGTGTGAGTGTGTGTGTACGTGTGCTCTCCGTATCCAGTGTGTGTGTGTGTGTGTGTGTGTGTGTCATGAGACGGTGTTTAGCCGTGACCCGCGCTGATAATAGGCCACAGTAAAGATCCACGTGGGACCCGCTTCAGTCTGAGGCCTCGCAGAGCTAAGTGCCATTTGACCCCATGAGCTGCTGATGGCGCAGAGGTTACAGCACAGAACCAGATGGCGCGTGCACTGCGGAAGTTGGGAAACTCATCTAAAAGCCCCCAAAGCCTCACATTTAGACTTATAGCAGAGAAAACACATTCGATTGTCTATATATGAATCCTATTCTTCACGCGCTTATACCTCACGTTTCACGTTTTCTGCACATACAGGGAAATACATTATACGCATGCCTAAATAAACAAACCATGACGTCATAGTGTTGTCCAGTGAATGACGGATGCCCTGAGCGGAGTGAGCCAAGTGAAAGGAGAAGCTGTCATGTCACAATAGACTTTGGATTCCTCCGTGGCACTTGTGCGTAAAGTACAAGTTACGGCGATCCGAACGTGCACGCGCATCAAAACAACTTTTATCCTTAATTTGTTTTCATTTTTCCTATGACATCCAGGCTGGTTTCGGGTGGCTCGCTCGCTCGGATCTTCATAAGAACTTGCATGGAACAGTGTGTGTCAGTCCTCAGACCAGTGGCAGCGATAATCCCATATTTGACTGCGCGTGTTTGAATGTGTGCGATACATGTAAAATGGGGCTTAAGCAGAGAATGGCGTGTTTTGTGTGGACCTGACGTGTTCTAGCTGAGAATGAGACCACACCATTTGAACCCAACATCTAACATTAGTGTGTGTATGTGTTGTTGTGTATATGTCATTCTAATACAATTTAATCCAGTCCATCTGAAGGTGACGCTGTGCACGCCCCACGTCCTCCTCAAACAAAACAAAAATCTTAGTTATGGAACTCAAACAAACCTTTTTCCACGCATAGATTATATACAATTACACCTATTCATCCTACTCATCTATTCGTGGGCCAAAGAGACTTATGTTAAATACTTATTTGTTATCGATTATAAGAGCATTTCTAATTTTAATCAATTAGCAGCATAATAAAAAACATGTGTATCGAAATAAGCGACACATTTGAATTAGTGTGTGTGCGTGTGTGTGTGTTCGTGTGTGTGTGTGTGTGTGTGTGTGTGTGTGTGATGGGCGTGGGCGTGGGCCTGTATGTAGAAGCGTTGACACTATAGCTTTTGCACCTTATCACTTATAAGATAGATAAGATAAGATATACTTTATTGATCTCACAAAGGAGAAATTTACAAATGTATATTTTATAGATGTAAAATTGTCTATATACCAAGTTACATTTCAAAATCTAACTTGTCTCCGTTTGTGTCCATGAGTTGTATTCCTTAAGCAACAATCTTCACCGTGTTTTTTATTGGCAAAAATGTGAGAGGTTCACTCAAGGAGTGTAACCTTATGTGTGTGGTGCTAAAATCGATCTGGATTTTCACTAAACTGCGTAGTAATGGGATATCTGATAGTTGGTCTTACCTTATCTGTTTGTGAAAGTGTCCATAAGCATGCACCTGGGGATTTATTCAACAAAGCTAGGCACGCAAAAAACCCATTAGTGCGTATAAAGCTGTAATTTTAGCCTCATTCTGCCTCATTCTGCATATTCTTGAGAACAGCGGTCTCCAACCTGTCCCTTTGCAGTAAGGACAATTTGTATATTTTATTTTTGTTATCTTTTTGTTGTGTTGTGTTTTACCCAACACATATCTACCACAATTTATTAGTGCAAAACGGAGTTTATCAAAATATTAATTTCCTTTGGGAGCAGCTCTGAAGAGAGAAGCGAGCAACTGTATGTGTGTGTGTGTGTGTGTGTGTCTCTCTCTTTCTCTGTGTGTGTGTTTGTGTCTCTCTGTGTGTGTATATGTGTGTCTCTCTCTGTGTCTCTGTGTGTGTGTCTGCGTCTTTTTATGTGCGTGTGTGTGTGCGTGTGTCTCCGTGTGTCTGTCTGTGTGTGTGTCTATGTCTCTCTGTGTGTGTGTCCGTCTGTATGTTTGTGTGTGTGTGTGTCCGTCTGTGTGCGTGTGTGTGTCTGTGTCTCTCTGTGTGTATTCAAAGGCAGGTGAAGGCTAATTTATATATATATATACAGGAGGCAAACGTTGGCTCGCAGCGCCCACTGTTTTGGAAACATTGAAACCAGACCATTATAAATCTGTGTTAATAGCAGCGAGCAGCGGTTGTTGTTGTGCGGGGGAATGAGAGTCCGTCCACGCCGGTCTCCCCTGCACGCGCTGCATTCAGGACAAATCCTCTTTTTAAAAAACAACGCAAAATGTAGAATCTCGCGCTCGTATATAACCAAATGATTTGCAGATGTGGCCCGCGCTCATTCTCAGAGCTGCGTGAAGAGAATATTCAGAGGCCATTTTTCTTTTCCTTTTTTCTCGCATTCAGATCAGAAAAAAACAGTTACCTCTGACGATTCCAGTGAAAATAAACGCGAGGATAAATGCAGATTGACAGGGAACAGGGCCGACGGAAACGCGACACACATGCGCATTAGACACGCTCCGTGAGGTCGCAGAAGAAGAGTTTTACGCACGATTCAATTCAATGCATTTTGTGTGCGTGGGTGTGTGTGTGTGTGCGTGCGTGCGTGTGTGTGTATGTGTGTATACCTCACAACCGTATACTTTGTGGACTTTACGCAGTTGTGGATTCGCCAATAACAAATCAGAGAATCAAACACAAAATGCAATAATAACAAACACACACAGGAGCGGGAAGACAGACTTATAAATCTGATGGTGCTGGTGTTGAATCTGTTTAAAACTATTTGAATATTTCACAAATAGATTTGACCCAAAAAGGTTTTACGTTAAGTTAAAGAAACAGAGGAACTTTCATGTAGTTCAGACAGAGAGTTGTGCTATTATCCAAGTTCTAGTTTCTGTGCCATAAATGTAAATTAATGTCTATAATGCTTTTGAATGGGCACGTGCCAGACTTCTTATTCTAATACTACTATATGGGAGAAAGAGCATAAGATAAAATAACATTTGTTCGTTTGAGCACACATCCAACACTATTCTCTGAGACTGTTTTTATTTAAGGTTTTGATAAACATGAGCATGATGAATTTGTATACTCGAGTACATGTGATTAATATTGTACTTTAGCTGCAGAAAATATGACCATTAAAAAGTTATAATAATAATCATAAAATAATAATAAAAGCAGCGGGTAAAATGACCAGTGGATTATCAGTGCAGGTGCAGCATTCTCGTTGTACAGTCTGACAGCAGCATATGCTTCAATACAAGCCTGTATAGACCGTGATTCAAGGTGGGATGAAACAATAACATTTATATATTTTTGTCACGTTTGAGCTTGGGTGAATATAAAAGTCACATTTAAAACAGTTGGACAATTTAGTTTAAATCAAGTCAAAAAATAGAGAATAAATAAATTATAACAGGCCATGGGTAAACATATTTTTGTCTTTGTATAGAACGTGTATCAATGGCTTTTGTTCTGGAATTATTATGTAGTTGACGACATTCTTATACATTATCAATTTGATTAAAGTCAGTTATTAAATAGTACAGTTATTGGTACAATATGTGTATTGGACAAAGAAACAGAACAGTGTTTTTGCCATTTACCAAACTGGGCCTTGGATGAAAAGTTAGATTTTAAGGAGTGCAAACTTTTCGATTCATCTTTAGACAATATTTTTAACCATGGCGCATGCGTCAATCCAAGTCACAAATATGTACATAGAGTCAAGCTATTTTCAGCCAAAAATATATAAATCAAAACAGCTATATTTCAAATGGACCTGCAGTGTTTTATGGCAAAGCAGGCCCTGGTTTGAAGTCGCATTGAGAGAGAGAGAGAGAGAGAGAAAGAGAGTCACATTTCAACATCTTTCCAGACGTCACCCGCGCGTAACATGACGGATCCAGCTGTCCATGTTCTCACCACTGCTGTTTTCTGTCTTCTGTCTCTTCTTCTCTCTTATGCCACGACAGTTAGCGACACTATCCCTACCTCCAAACTAGAAGAATGGAGTGGTGTTAGCAGGACTCACTTCCCCGCGTCTGCCGCCTGCTCTCCGCTCTATGGCGTGGAAAAACCTCACT